GCTCGGCCACGCTACCTGTATATCTATGGAAATGTTGTACACTGGTCGTAGAATATTAATATTATTAGTTGAAATATGATATGAATAGATTTATTTATAATATCTCTGCGGACAGGATTCCATGTAATGGGTTATTTAATTGAACAATGACACTTTTCGTGGTTTACTGTTAATCTGATATACATGTAATTACTGAAAACATGAAGCAAGTTTGAAAATGAATCTTCATCTTTTTACAATTTTCGAATACTATAATTAGTGTTACTTGCAATGTATTATGAACTGTTAAAGGTCAATTTAACTAAAGCTATCATGTATGAATTAACAAAAAGAAAAGAAAATTATCTTCAAATTTTTACAATTTTTGAATTCTATAAATAGTGTAACATAATCAACTTTTACTTATCATGACCTGTTAACGGCCGTGTCAATGTACAATTAATGACAGAAGAGTTAACAGTGTTTTCACTAATTGGGATACAGCGCGGTTTGTTCTCCACATCATAAACTCAAGAATAATTCATTATTCAGAAGAACAAAAATTCTATTAATTCTGATCATTTAGACGTCTGATTATAAGTTCTAAAACTAGGGGGAGATGAGCTGGTAGAAAAATGTAAATGCAAAAATTCTTCATAAAAAATAAAGGGCTGCAGTGTAGCAGAATACGCTTTGGCACCTAAGAAATGTTACAGTAACATTATCTTGTGGTGTGTTTTCCTTACGGTTAGACATATAACTGATAGATAAAGCTAGTAATTATCTCCACGTGTGTTCCAGATATGTATTCAGATTACAATACTCCTGCAGCTCCTCTATCAACACACAATCAACACAGACAATATAACAAGACTGCCGGAATTAAGTATTATTGTACAATGGTTAAGTCGTTTTTAGTGTTTTTGTATGAGGATGCGTGTGTGTGATAATGTGAGTTTGTGTCATTATAGTCATACGTTAGTGTATTTTAGTATAAATAGTGGGTGTTTGTAGTACAGAAATGTATGTCTATGTATAATTATCATGTTAAGTATTTATGTGTTACATGTGAGGAGAACAGCTCGTAGCCGATGGCTGTTTGTAATCGTCGTAAAACAAATAAAGAATTATATTATATAAATATGACATTTATTAGCAGGTGACAGTGAATCTTGTCAACCCGAGAAAACCATTGTCACCCGAGGCGAAGCCGCGGGTGACAATGGGTTTTTGAGGTTTGACAATATTCACTGTCACCTGCTAATGAAGGTCATATCTATTTTGTAACACCAAAAGTCTTTGTAGCTCAGAAACGGCAGCAAACCTCGATAATGACATATTGTTTGTTGAAAGTCTGCTGTTTACAATCGCTATCGCACCGGCGCTTGATGAAATTGGCTGTTGCCGTCATACGTTCTTGTGACCATCACGGTGGGGAAACGAAGCGGTGAACGCTTATTTCTCGCGCATGTGATATTTTTCACTGTCTCATAGCAATATCACCCGCGCCCCTTACAACCAATGTATTTTCTGAGTGTGACAGAGATTTTTGTTTAATTTTCTCCCAACCAATCAAATAGCTTGAAATTCACTTGAGGTGTAACAATAAGAAATATTTGCACTAGAGAAGTTCCACTGTGACCTCTGTGTCATAGCGATATTATACAGACAAAGGAATATTATCAGAAGGGAACTAAGTTTGAAAGAAATCTCAAAACTTTTGGTTTAAATTTTTATAAAACCCCAAGAAATTCAACCACATGAGCTATAAAATGAAGTGAACATTAACGTTCCCATACTCAATAATAAAATACCAGTCTCACTTTATCACGGAATGAAATTTTGTAATATTAATTCTGTAAGGGGTCATTAAAACATCAAGAGAAAACTGAAATGTCACAAATCGTAATTCGAATTCAAAATATGAAAAAAGAACTGATTTAAATGAAAAAGTACAAGGATGATACGACCATGTGTTCCGGAAGGGTAATCGTATTCCGCCATGTAAATCTAGACCATGTCAAAGTAATGTTACGTCCTAGTAACGACGGGAACCAAGACACAATTTAGTGACAACAAAGTAACAATAATTTTATATCTATTTCTGAGCCCCCAACATTCAATAAACCAGCATTGAGTATCTGCGCCTTAACATAGGTGTGTAAAGATGATATGATAGAGATTGCCTACATACAGCTGGAATCAAAAATGAAAAAGAAAGTGAAGCATAAATAAACACAGAATGGACATTTCGACTTTCGTTGTGCGTCCGGGTGATGCAGATCCAGCTCCAGTTCAATGTCAGGTAGCGTGGTTTAGCGATCTTAGGCGCTGGTTTACGGCATCATTCAGTCACTTCTGGGGCCGGGATTCTAACCAAACCGCTGCCAGGATAATTTTGGATCAAAATCTCAAGATATCTGTCTTGATTTTGTTTAGCATTTTACGGCCTACTGGAATTTTCGTTGGAATATACATATGTAAAACAAACTGACACACAGGCATTACTATGTTTGCAAGGACTGTTCAGAAATGATCCTATTATAGACGTAAGTAGTGTGTATTTACATAAGGGGCTGTAACAAAAGAAAACAATATAATCTATTGTTTGAGTGTGACCTCCAGAGATGACAGGGTATAGGTTAACCTGATCTTGTAGATTGGATAATTATTTTTTGTTAGCATTCAAAAATAAAACCGTTGACCAATCAGTTCATATTGTTTTTATTACTATGGTGATATGACTATGTACAATACTATAAATAATCAGATGTCTATTTCAAAAGCATTTATATTAAGTATATGTTGTTACGTACACAAACATCACATCTTTATCAAGGAAAAAACTTCCTACATCACCTATTTGGCCACACATTATAAAATTTACCAGCGCTCCAGTATTTGAATTCATCACAAATTTCTGTTGAATTTCACCTTTGACTTTACATTAAAGGATTTAGCAACACTCCGTCTCATGTGATTTCACTGAACATTTGAATTCGTCACAAGTTACCTCTGAATTTCATTGGAGTTTACCATCATGTTGACCAATGCATACCTGCCATGAGTGTAAACGTACATGTAATATAACGCACACATACATATAGACCATGTCAATGCGGCGATCTGAAACAGGTGATCAGTGTACCTTACACACCATAACTCATCAAGATTAATGTACAACAAAAGTTTTACATTGTTTTGATAAAGTTCCGGCGACTCCTCATCATCAGAAATGATTATCACTGAGGGGTCCTCCTTCTTCTTTGGTGTTGATGAAAACACGATACTATCATCCCACACAATGGAATCACTAGAAAATAAAATAAAATCAAGACATAATATATTGAATTAAAAAAAAACACCAAAAAACATTAAGAAATGTTACATTAGTTTGGTTTTATTTGTCGATCCAATAATTTAATAATGAAAACTTTTAAAATGGATAACAAAATAAAATACCAAAAAAATACTTACTTGAAATATTTTGCAAAAGGATCACTTAGAAGAGAGGATCCCGATTCATCCAAATCGCCGAAATCTCGTACTATATTGACTTATTGAGTGTTGGTGATTTCGCTGTTGGAAGCCATCTTCTTCTTCTCTTTTTTTTGGTAAGACTGGAACGACAGTAAGAGGGGTTACTAGTTTTATTATCAACACTAGTTTATTAATAGAGTTATGTGGAACCAATCATTTTGCAAGATTTTGGAGGGAAGCAAGCTTATTTGTTCATTAGAATCTTTTAGGTAAAGACATCGGCTTTTGATCCGTGACCAAGGTCATTATTTGGGGTCCCTTTAACAAAAAGTGATAGACTCTTTCAGAGGTCATTGTCCATATACGACTATCATGCCCAATGCATTTATCAACTAAGACCGTGTGTGCAGAGAATGCCAATGACCTCGTATTTTATTCAGCGTGGACACCTCATAGGTGGTCTATGGCCGGTACGTAATTGTTATAGAGCAAACAATACACATTGATATTTCATATATCACCACAGAGAGATAAGGAGCGGTTAAGAATCACCTCACCCCCTTCATGCCTTATACTCAAATGGATGTAAATAACTCTGAAAACAGATCGGTTTTCATTAATTTGTTAATTAAAAAAGACACCGTCACAGAGAGACAGAATACATAGCGTAGTTCACTTCCTGCCGAGCGTTTATATTTACAGAAAAATGTCACGTATCTCATTCACACCTAATTTGTAACAACAAACGAAACAACGCAAATGGGTATCAGTTTCATTTTCCACTGATTAGTGAGGACATTCTCGAAGTTAAAATAAATAAATGATAATAATGTATGATGGTATCAAATGTCTAGTGAACGATCAGGTCTGTCTAATTTTGAGGGTCAAAATGAAATAACGCCCAGGTTATCAGTTAATGTTCCTACACCGTGATTAGACAGGACAGTCACTGAAAGAAGAACAAATAAATCAATCTGATAGCGTCAACTGGAAAAATAAAACGAGCAAGTTTCCAAAATGTTTTAATCAGTCCAAAATGTTATGCGGAATAGTTAGTGTGTTTTTTGCGTTGATCACCATCTCCACATGTGCATTTATTTGCCCCAGGGTAAAAAGGTGTTTTAAACCCCTTGAGGGTTCATGGGACTTAGGATATCGAGATGTTCCTGCATCACTGTGATGAAAGCGGCGACGGTGTATGGGAGGCATACCCTACAAAGAGTAGTCCCCTATCAAAACACAAGTGTATTCCTGCAAACAGAAGAGCAATTTAGACACTTTCCTTGCGTAAAGAATTTGACTCTACGTCTAGCTGAAAAAAAGAAACATTGTGGTAAGTAAAAAAGAAATTCATTTGTAATATGATGCAAATATGATAAAGTTGCTTCTTTTTCGTCATATTTCTGGTGTTTTGTCTGGTACATGGAAATGAACCATCGTGCCGATGGCAACACATATACAGTAGGAGCATGACGTCAACTTGAACGCTTTAGACATTCTTATATTTGTTATTTGTATAAGAATTATACATTCTTATTATTGTGTTTGGAAGTGTTTTCACGTAGGAATAACACGGTAGGTGAAATATATATTTTTCAAGCTGCAGTTCTGACCTCATAAATCGGGTTAATTAAAAACAGGTTTTATTAAACGGTTGAATAAGAGCGGGGTTTGTTCTGCAACGAGGCTGAGTCGCCAACCTTTGTTGAAGGAGGAACTTTAACACAACACATGTCAATGCATAAACACCTTTTCAAAAAGTTCCTTGCTGTGGAAAGCCTAAGTAAAAACTTTAATTTACCATATGATCATCTCGTCCATTTACGACTCATAGTAATAATAATATACAACATTTATATAGCGCCCTATATAATTACAACCTATGGATAATAATAATGGTTATAATTGTGAAAACAAAAAAACAAAGGCTTACAATCACTTTTATACAATTAAGCAAGCAATGTCCACATAATTGAACAAATAAAAGGATGGTATTTGCAAGGATTCTAAAATGCAGACGTGAAGTGGGGAGTTTTGTGTCCCTTTTGAAAATGACCGGGGTATTTGACTGTCTAACAGCAGATGGTTAGCTCTTCCACAATGTAACCGAAACTTCATAATTAAAACTTAAGGTCAAAAGAATGAGAATTGATTTCTAAATATTCCTAAACGTACATAGACTTACAGCTTAAAGGCGAAGGTCATAACGTTACAAATTTATAAGTTTTTTTTACAAAGAGGAACTTTGTTCTGTAACTATTATTTCATGTAAACCGTGGCGAGTAATTTCCAGCTACATAGTTACGGTCAACATCGTCGTCTAATACAGACAACAGAGTCAACATAACGGCCAACGTCGTCGTCTAGTACAGACAACAGAGTCAACATTACGGCCAACATCGACGTTATATACAGACAACAAAGTCAACATTACGGCCAACATCGTCGTCTAATACACACAACAAAGTCAACATTACGGCCAATATCGTCGTCTAATACAGACAACAAAGTCAACATTACGGCCAACATCGTCGTCTAATACAGACAACAGAGTCAACATTACGGCCAACATCGTCGTTATATACAGACAACAGAGTCAACAATACGGCCAATATCGTCGTCTAATACAGACAACAGAGTCAACATAACGGCCAATATCGTCGTCATATACAGACAACAGAGTCAACATTATGACCAACATCGTCCTCTAATACAGACAACAGAGTCAACAATTCGGTCAACATCGTCGTCATATACAGACAACAGAGTCAACAATCTTGGTACGTAACATAACCCTATGAAATGTGAAAGGAGGCTCCTATTTAAAAATAAAGTTTGTTGACTCGGAAAGCCAAATTAAACAGATGACCGTTGCGTCCATTTCGGGCTCGTCAGTGGTACTAAAGTTTTTAACGAATATATCTGTTTCAAACATATAAGCAGGTGCGCGTTAGGTAAGCGTACGGATCATTCGATGAAACACCGCGATACAATAAAAACACTAATAATTGGGAAACAAATTCAGATGACAACTTCAACACCTATGAGTAGTGTGGACAACATGGCAAGTTGCATTGTGACATGGACTTCTGGTACGCAGAGGGAATGCATTTGCTCTTTGTGCACTGGTAATCTTTCAGACTACAGGGAATACTGTAGAGATGCACATCTGTATAGAGACATTTGAGTTATCAGTTGTGTTGAGCAGCCACCCCCAAAGAGGAAGACCTACCTCTTCTATTATTCTTTTATGAATAATCCATTGACTAATGATCCTGTTGTGTCAACGTTATATGATCTTTTTGTGTCAACATTGTCTGAAAGTGTTTGAGATAGATTTTCTTAAAAAATCCTTTATTGATATATAAATGCTCGGGTTGAGTGTTATTTTGTCTTAGTACGGAAAATGTCACAATGTGATCTTTAGTCGTGACATTAGACCTAAATTCATCGTGAGTACTGCTATACATACATGTATCCATCTTATTTGTACACACAGCCAAGAATGTATACAGTGTAGGGGTTGTTTATGCGGTGTGACACCTTTACAATACACTTTGTATCAGAAGACGTTATGAAACCCGTTTTAATGTATCATATAACCGACTTCTGTTGAAGACTTTTTGTCATCATAATTACCAAGTAAGGTAATAACAATTATGTTATGTTGGCCAGTTCTCTGTCCATTGTCTATATTTTCTTCTTAAGTTCTGTTTGTTCTTGTGTCAATTTTTCCCTCTTCCTTTTCCAAACCTTCCCACTTGTTCAGGACTATTCAAGAAATATTGCGAGTGACTGATGTATTTAACATACCCTCTAGGAAATGTTACAAGCACCTTAGAATTGGCCATTTACAAATGAAACAAGGACTGCTATCATAGAGAACACGTGTTCAGATTTAACTTAGACTTCATAGATCAATAAGATCAATTTCATAACGGATAAAAATGATAATGACAAACGTTAACAGTTCAATTTTTTATTTTCACAAGTTAACAAGACTCTAGAAATCTAACGCGGAACAGTTTAATTATAGCTCACAGAGTGACCAACAAATGCCTGCGTGTCTCCTGAATACACACACTTAAGCACGCATACATTACACACATGGAGGCAAGTCCTTAAATGACCTTAGCTGTTAATGGGACGTTAAACAAAATTAAACCAAACCCAAACCTGTATGA